TTTGTAATTACTGTTAACCTATTAGGATTGTAATTCGAGCAAAGGGCTGCCAATAAATCAATGAGCATTAGTTGTTTTATTTTTTTTTCTTGTTATCTTTACATTTCATTATCCTCTTAAATGGTTGGCTGAGATTGTCTTTAGTTTTCGTACCTTTATCGTCAATCGGTATCTTATGTCCATGAATCAACAAACGACCCTTTACATCCTTTGCCAGTTTCCATATCAATCTTACAGTAGGAGAATATCACATTGCATTTTGACTGATCGGAGAGGTCATTCAATGAGCAATATCGGTTCCAGCTCTGTTATCTCTTGGCTCAAGCTTGAAGCTAGTCTATGACATTGATCTTTTTTTTATTGCTCGTCCAGATTATGAAGCCCCTGCACAAGCACCGTGTGATTACATTTTGCTTGACTAACAATGAAAAAAAATAAAAATAAAATAAAATAATGAAAAGAAGAGGATTGGCCGATTCCTCGATAGACTCTGGAACTGACTTTGGAATCACAGGTTCAATTCTTGGGTTGGTTCTCGGGTCTATAAGGTGAATTCCAACTTCAAAAAACTGAAAACTGGTTCCAATAAGGTATGTTCCAAGTGGAACATGGACAAATCTTGGAATTACTAACCCCTAATGCGTTCAGTACATGTAATAGTTGGGGTGGTCGCTCGAGACTCGAGTGCACAAATGTACGCGCGCCAACAAGGAGAAAACTGTCGTGAATTCACCACCTCACGGTCAACGTCGTCCTTCCATTAGTCGCATTATTTAATGAAGAAATAAATCATCGAAAATCTCAAACTTATCTCCATGGACACCAATACCTCAAAAAAAAAAAAATTTAACTAATATCCTGACTTCGTATCAACGTCTCGAAAATATCTTCTATTGAACTTACCCACGTTGCTACCTCGAATATTAAAGAGCTATCATCGACGGAATATCTTCTATTGAACTTACCCACGCTGCTACCTCGAGTATTAAAGAGCTATCATCGACGTTCCATCAACGTAAAGTTATGTTTGGATATCACTGGTATGAGTTTGGAATATTGGTTTTGCGAGAAAAGAGTCTGGTATAATGTCGAACATTTTACAGAAAAATTTAAAATAATCTCGTGAGGTTTTCCCCTTAATCAACGGGGCCGATCAAAGCCCCAAATCCGCGGTCACGTGCCCCACGTGCCTTCCCCCCATCGATCAGGTGAAGCAGCGAAGGGAAGGCGAACAGCTTCCGCGAATAGCGGACGACCGCCACCTTTTCTTCAAAGCCTCCCCCCCCCCCCCAAAAACAAAACCAAATCGAATCCCAACCACCCAACAATGAGTTTGGAATCGGGGATCGCGGTCGCGGCATGGCACTAGAAGTTATTGCCGGTATTTGCCGGGACTTGGCTGGGAGAGCGGCCGTCGGTTTTGCAGAAAGAGTCGTCGCGGCATCGGCACTAGAAGCGGAGGCCCTAGCTCTGCGATCGCTCTTTGGTGTGCTTGGAAGCCGATGGTGATCTGAGGCGGGCAAATGATCTATCTGCGCATAGAGATGGCCTCTGATGGCTTACCACTAGCGCACACGGTAGTGGGCCAAGAACCAAGCCCATGGGCACTACGATCCATCATCGAAGATTGTAAAGAGCAGATGGCCCTCGTGAATCAAACCAAGTAGGGGACAGACTGGATCGCCAAAACCCATCGCGAGAAGGCCCTTTCCTCGCAATTGGCTTGTAGTGCCGGCATTACCTCTATGGGATCTTTTATGCTCGGAAACCTTTAACCTATGTTATCCTTTGACGTTTAATGAACGAAATGCTTCGTTTGGAGAAAAAAAACCTATGAATATAGCTCTGGTTAACTTATTATAAACGATACAATCGATTATTTTTTAAAAAATATATATATTTTTCAGATATGTGATTTTCCGCAAAACAACTGCATTAAGCATGTTCTTCATTTTGGCCAAAATGTGCCTGAGGATCTAGATTTAAAATTACGCGAATGATGTCATCGAATCACGTTTCCCGTGTCTGTTACGGTGGAATGATTAATATACAAGGGCAAAAGGCTCTTGAAAGTTGCCCCAACAATGGACGATCACATATCTAGTTGCCCCAACGTGTACGTTAGGATTGATCACGAATCCGATCGTTGATTCATTATTCCCATCCTTTTCTTGTCAATTTTCTTGACTTTACTTGACTAATCCTGTTTGCTTGTTTTGATTAATGAGGTGATTTGGAAAATATATACCGAAAATCCATTTGGATTGAATTTTACTTTTTATTTAAACAAAATCTAGCGGCTTACACACTTTAACTACACTTTAACTCAAAACAATCGGATATAAATTGGTGAACAACGATGAGCGAAAAATCGTTACCACCAGTGTGTTCTTAGATCATTTCTTCACGGTGAACGACGACGAGCCGCACGACGGCGGTTAGTGCGGTAGCTGAGTTTAGGGCATTGTCGGTATATTGATATGGAGTTGATTCGAGAGATCTAGATAGGGTGTACATTTTGTGGCCCTCAACGGGAATTTACCAAAAAAAAAAAAAAGAGAGAGAGAGAGAAAAGGGAGGTTATTTTATTTCGACAAAAGACCCACCAAATCTACATCGATAATTGATGCCTACAGATAAAATTGTAGATGTAGATTGGTATTTTAAAGAAATAGAGACATGCAAACCCTGTTCGAGCGCAAAGTGCAGTATATTTTGACAACTGCATTAAGCATGTTCTTCATTTTGGCCAAAATGTGCCTAAGGATCTAGATTTAAAATTATGCGAATGATATCATCGAATCACGTTTTCCGTGTCTGTTACGGTGGAATGATTATACAAGGGCAAAAGGCTCTTGAAAGTTGCCCCAACAATGGCCTAGAATGCACGATCACATATCTAGTTGCCCCAACGTGTACGTTAGGGTTGATCACGAATCCGATCGCCGATTCATTATTCCCATCCTTTTCTTGTCAATTTTCTTGACTTTACTTGACTAATCCTATTTGTTTGTTTTTGATTAATGAGGTGATTTGGAAAATATATACAGAAAATCCATTTGGATTGAATTTCACTTTTTATTTAAACAAAATCTAGCGGCTCACACACTTTAACTGCACTTTAACTCAAAACACTCGGATATAAATTGGTGAACAACGATGAGCGAAAAATCGTTACCACCAGCATGTTCTTAGATCATTTCTTCACGGTGAACGACGACGAGCTGCACGACGGCGGTCAGTGCGGTAGCTGAGTTTAGGGCATCCTCGGTATATTGATATGGAGTTGATTCGAGAGATCTAGATAGTGTGTACATTTTGTGGCCCTCAACGGGAATTTACCAAAAATTAAAAAAAGAAAAGAGAGAGAGAGAAAAGGGAGGTTATTTTATTTCGACAAAAGACCCACCAAATCTACATCGATAATTGATGCCTACAGATACAATTGTAGATGTAGATTGGTATTTTAAAGAAATAGAGATATGCAAACCCTGTCCGAGCGCAAGTGCGGTATATTTTGAACTTGTTCCGGATACGTTTCGCTTTTGGCAACTCTTTTAAAAAAACCAAACACGGGCCCCCCCGGGTTCTAATAACGGGGACTCGTCTAGTTGCGGATTACGATGATCGAAATTCCACGGGGTCCAAGCGCCACAAATTTCAACGATGACGACGGAACGAGCGACCAGACCAGCCCAACCCCATCAAAGCTCTCTCTCCGTCACGACTCACGAGCTACACGTTTTGCAGACAGAATCCCTTCCGTAAAGGACCCCGCAAGCCTGCCTGCGACACGTGGCAGCACAAGAGCCAAGTTAGAAGTCTTCCTTGGGTCTTCCTTTCTCGATTTTTGTATTGTAGTTTCGAGGTTGTTCTGTGTTCTGTCCCGTCGTTCCATCCTTTTCTAAGCACATGTCGCGTTTATTGGGATTGGGAACGATCGTGATCGTTGGCGACGGCGTGGGGCCTCCCACCCCCGCCCCAGAACTTGCTACGTGGACGGATAAGATCGGCGAGAGAGGAGCGGGGGTCGGACGGTGGTGGTGGTGGTGAAGTTGATGGTTTGGATTGGACGGTTGGTCGGGCGTGCTCGGAGAGAACTCGCTCGACGATTTTGATTTTTTTGATTTTTTTTTTTGCTCATTATTTTCTAACGAGAAAAATTGCCAACCGGTCTCGTAATTAGAGAGTAATTGGAGATTTCATGCAAGGTGCAATATTATATAGGCTTTGTGATTGCAGTTTAATTTAAAGAATAATAATATTAAATAACGTAATTACATGTGTCGTCCCAAGAGATAATGGAAAGACGAGAAGTGGGTTTTTCTTCTTTAGCTTAGCAGATTTCGATTATGTGTACGCGTGAGCATGAAGGATATTCCACTAACAATTGAACGTTACAGAAATGCTGACAAACTGCGAATCGGCATGCTTTTTGACCGTTCTCATCTTTTTAACTCATGGACGAATAAAATGGACATTTCGTATCAAAAAGAGGGTGTGAAATCATCTGAATTTTATCACGGTGATTGCAGTAGTTTCCGGTAGAAAATCCAGATAATTTAAAATTTCTTTACAATATCCACACGAGATAGGTAAATTTGATGATAAGCCAATATAACACCCCGCAAAAAAATAAATTGCCTTTTCCCCCTTTTTCCAAAGTTTTCTTTTTCCTTTTATTTTTTCGGTGGCAAGAATAACCGGATTAGACCCATAGCAACCTCTGGAATCCACCGGAACATCCTCAAAATTTCAAGACCAAATAATAGAGGGTGTCAGGCCACCATCAAAAGCCCTGGAAAATCAAACCCTAGTGGGGCCTGAAAACAAAAGGCTAATTGGAAAAAGAAAAAAGGACAAAAAAACGAAAGGAAAAGATTTCACCACATCCTTCTCCTTCGTTCGATCACTCACTCGTTAGTCAGCAGCAGCAGTACACTCTCGTACTCTGCAACACCTCCATAAATAGAACCAGATCTCCTCCCTTCGCCGGATCAGCAACGACGCTCTCACTGGTGTTTCCGTTCCCGGAAGAAGTTTAGAGGGAAAGGGGTTTTTTTTTTTCCAAGGACATGGCCAAGGACGTCGAGGTGGTGGAGCAACACGGGGAGTTCCGCGGCAAGGACTACCGCGACCCGCCGCCGGCGCCCCTGGTGGACGCGGATGAGCTCACCAAGTGGTCCTTCTACCGGGCCATCATCGCCGAGTTCGTCGCCACCCTCCTCTTCCTGTACATCACCGTGCTGACGGTGATCGGGTACAAGAGGCAGGCCGACACGGGCCACGGCGGGGACGTCTGCGGCGGCGTCGGCATCCTCGGCATCGCCTGGGCCTTCGGCGGCATGATCTTCGTCCTCGTCTACTGCACCGCCGGCATTTCTGGTGCGCTGATACAAACAGCTTCATATTTCGACATCTATATAGCTTGTACTAAGATAAAATAAGAAAAAGAAATTGTCGGATGATGAACGAATTGGTGTCGTGGTGTAGTTGGTTATCACGTCAGTCTAACACACTGAAGGTCTCCGGTTCGAGTCCGGGCGACGCCATTATAGCTGAACTTCTTTTTTTCGGTTCTTCGTTTGGCTTGATTTGAGTTTTGCTATGATCGGCAGGGGGGCACATAAACCCGGCGGTGACGTTCGGGCTGTTCCTGGCGAGGAAGGTGTCGCTGGTGCGGGCCATCCTCTACATGGTGGCCCAGTGCCTCGGCGCGGTGTGCGGGTGCGGCCTCGTGAAGGCCTTCCAGAGGGCCTACTACGAGCGGTACGAGGGCGGGGCCAACATGCTCGCGGACGGCTACAGCAAGGGCACCGGGCTGGGCGCCGAGATCATCGGCACCTTCGTCCTCGTCTACACCGTCTTCTCCGCCACCGACCCCAAGAGGAAAGCTCGGGACTCCCACGTCCCCGTAAGCTAACAACCCCTACCCATTTTGCCTCTCCCCCCTTTCTGTTTCTTTGGAATTTGATTTTGAAACCGTGCGCATCGTGCATGAAAGGTGTTGGCGCCGCTGCCCATCGGATTCGCGGTGTTCATGGTCCACCTCGCCACGATCCCGATCACCGGCACGGGCATCAACCCGGCCCGGAGCTTCGGAGCTGCGGTGATGTACGACAAGGAGAAGGCGTGGGATGACCAAGTAACGAATTCGAACTCCTTCCCTAGCTCTAGTACACTTCATCTAGTAAAGTTAACCGGACCATAGAGGATTCACATCGTGTTCTCTTTTGTTTTTCCATATTGAATTGTGCAGTGGATATTCTGGGTGGGGCCATTCGTTGGAGCGGCCATTGCAGCCTTCTATTACCAGTTCATCCTGAGAGCTGCAGCTTTCAAGGCTCTTGGTTCCTTCACGAGCTCTTCCACCTTGTAATTACGAATAATGCCCTCAAGACATCATCAGAAGGCTAATCACAGAGGGGAGAGAGAGAGAGAGAACTTTGGTTCTTCATGTGTTGTGTAAATTGTGGGTCAGCAGTACGTACTGTGTGCTTGAGGCACTGGGTTTTTCATTTTACGTGCCTAAGTAGTGGTGAGTTTTCTTAGTTCTGTTTTTCATTTGGGTCATTGTGGAACCATGAAGTCCTATGAAAATGCGAGTTTAATGCACTTTCTCCAAATGCCACTTACTTTACCTTATCAATGTGCCGAATGAGTTGCGGGCCTGAAGTCCTTTTCAGATTTTTCTGTTATATTAGTATGTAATTCTTAATTTCATTACCGGGTCCGAGCGAACCTAATCGGGCCTAAGTGGGTGGGCACGGGCTCGAGAGGGAATGCTCTTTACCGGTCGTGCCCGAAACGCACTTCGTAACTAGTGGGCTCGGGTGGCTTTGGAGAGGCTCGGGATCCAAAGTCGACCGCTTGCAAAAAGCTCCCGAACCGGCCGGGTGGGCAGATGCCGGGGCGCATGTGAATTTGGCGATTTGCGTGCATCTCTCGAATTAGTGTTTAACAGAAAATTTTCGAATAGACGAAAAGGATCTTGAACAAATTAGATGAGGGGATGATTCTTTCTGGGGTGTTTGAGCTAGACACGCAAGGGTAAAAGAAAAGGAAAAAAAGCAGGCAGGCTCTGATGGCAACGTTCGCGTCGTGTAGCACCACGGACACAGGGTGTAAGGATGTGGATTTGGCCCAGCATGTAGCTGGTTCTGCACTATGAAGGGGGTGATCAGATCGAACCTTAACTGCGTAACTTCATCCCAAGAACAGCAAAACTGAAGCTGCCAACAACCTTCTTTGCCAGCATTTTTGCTCTCTCGTTGGTCTGGGGCCGTACATTCTTGTGCACATCGATTGAAAGAAACACCCAAAGGTTGATGCTGATGAGAGCAGGTCCAGTCCAGCTGAGCCCCGTTGTTGATAAACATGCATTAATTATTGTGTTGTTTTGCTGTCATGCTTTCGTTTTCCACCTTGACAAGCAAAAGGGCACTTTCCATGTAATTTACTTATTAGGGGCGGGCGCTCTTTGCCATGTTAGCAATTTCAAGGCAAAAGCGAGATAAAAAAGGGGGTGTGTGTTGGGTTTAATATATTGAAGACACATTTCATATTTATCTGATCGCTTCATGACAATTGCGACTTCATTTCTTATTTCAATCGCCACTTGATTTCAAAATTGATAGATGTTTACAAGATGATAAGACATAGTCGTTGTTTAGTGTAACATGTACAATTTTCTATAATCAAGTACTCTCACGCAAGCTAATTAATTTCTTTTTCTCATCCAATTAAATAAAGACATCTCGATAAGGTGTCGGCTCAAATGATAAGGGAGTTTGCTCCTCTCTTTGCCGTTTGGGCTCGAATCTTGCGGGGAACACTTCAGAAGTAATATCCTAAATGCACCCTTAAGAACGCTCATGAGGGTGGATTAATCGAGATGTGTGAAAATTAACTTGGCCATCACTTGACCCCTAAAAACAAATGAAAATTACACAAAACCTCAGAGTAACTTTGAGGGTAATACAAGTTTGCCCCTAAACTTTCAACTATTACAAGCATATTGAACTTTCATTTTGCTAGCCGTCCGTTATTTTTTCTATTAGCATGTACAATGCACATGACTTATAAGAGATGAAAATGTATTTTGATCTCGTTTTTTAAAGAAAATCTCTCATTTACCCTTAATACTATAAAAAATGAAAAAAATATAAAAATGGTAGAAAGCCAAATTCACTAAAATACTAATAACTGAAAAAAAGTAAATACCAACAATATATAAAAATTTTATTAAAATTTGATAAATGTAACCATTTTAACAGACCTAAATAAGATGTTTTAAGAAAAAGAATAATCACGAATTAAATAAAACAGGAAAATGCATCAATAACAAAAATATCAAGCGACAAAAAATGGATACTTATTAATTTATTATGCATTTTTGCAATGGTTAATCGATGCAAAAGACTTGATGGATCAACTATATCCAATTTCTGTTATTTGATCACCTTTTTTTTTTTTATTAATCTGTTTTTTCCTTTTTAGTTAGCTGTTTTCTTTTTCTTGAAATATGTTATTAGTTCGATTGATATATCGTTAATTTTTAATAATTTTTATTCTTTAATATTATTAGTATTTATTTTTTGTGATACGAATACTTAATTTATTTTTATCCATTTCCTTTACTTGTATTATTTTTATCTTTTGTGGATATCAGGGGTAAAAAAGAGATTTTCTCCTTGGGAAAATATATAGATTTATATGAGACTGTTTAATGTTGGAAAGTTTAGGGGGGTTTTGTGTAATTTCATTAGAAAAAAAAAGGGAAAATGAAATAAATAGTCCCTGAAACTTTGACTCAATGTGCAATATGGTCCATGAACTTTTAATTTGTTCAATGTGGTCCATGAACTTTAATCCAATGTGCAATACGGAGTCCCTGAACTTTTAATTTGTTCAATGTCGTCCCGAACTTTTGGTACATGTTCAATTTAATCCCTAAACTATAAGAAAATATTCAAGGTAGTCATTCAATTAATTTACGTTCAGGGACTACTTGTACCAACAGTTTAGAGATCACATTAAATATTACGCTAAAGTTCAGAGATTATATCCATTAGGGGTGTGCAAAAGAACCGAAAACTGCTCCGAACCAGTGGCTCCTAAGGGGACTGGTTTGTTTCCTGGTTCCAATTTTTGGAAACCGGTCCGATTTCCGGTTCTAGGTGTGGAACTGCCCGCCGGTTCATCCGGATCGGACTGGTAATTATATAATAAATATATTATATTTATTTAATTTTTATTTTTTAAAAAAAGAAAAAAAATCATAAAATCCCTAAACTAAACCTAACTTGCTCGATGTTCACAGCCCCACATTGAGCCGAAAAACATCTTATTTCGCTTTCGCCTCACGCTCGCACTCACTCTCTCACTCTTTTTAGTCCATGTTCACCTCACTGTCTCCGACTCTCCAACTCCGTCTCCGTTTCCATCTTTCCGTCTCCGTCCTTGCCTAGTGAGAGCGGTTCCATGACCCACCCAGGAACCAAATCGGACCGGTAGTCCGGTTCTCGAATGGATCCATGGAACTAACAGGCGGTTCTCGATTTCAATTTTTCGAAACCGGTCCTTAGTGAGCGGTTCCCGGTTCTAGGGTGGGAACCGCCCATCCGGACCATGCTCACTCTTAAATTATTCATGAATTATATTATATATTGGATTAAAGTTTAGGGCCTGATTGTGCGATTATCCCAAAAAAACAAAGAAGGAAAAAACATTATCTGTCTGCCAATTAAAAAGTGGTGAATGCATTCACCATCCTCCGTTCGCTACCGTACCGCGAGTTCCATCAGGGGGAAAAACACGAAGAAGGTCCCCCCCCCTCCCTCTTCTTCCCCATCCCTGCGAGGAAATTCCCAGTCGGAGCGACGCCAAGCCTCATCAGGTACGCCAAATTGCCCCCTCCGTCCTGTTCGTTCGCATCTCCACCAGATTCCTCGATCGGATCTGCAATCGGCGCTCTCCTTTTTCACCTCGTTCGGGCGGATCCCGATCGTCTCGGTCGTTGCTGTCGCGCTGGATTTCCCCCTTTTTCCCTGGATCTTTGGCGGTCGATCCCGTAAATCCGCTTGCGTCGGAACTGCGTGGAAAGCGGATGAATTGATTTTCTCGCGTTTGATTCTCGGCTCCCGCCGAATTTCGGGGCCGATAAATCTTCGGAATCGATCGGAATCGAAGCTGGTAGTAGCTTTCTAGCTTGTTGTATTGGCGAGTCCAGATCTATCGGCCTCGCTTCGTCCTGGACGAGTTTCGTGTGAGAAAATAGGCCCTTCATCCCATCGTTCGGCAGAATTTTCGGCTGCGTGATATAGTTTTGGTTCATATGTTTCGCGATGAGGCTCGTTCCTTTTGGCCGTTGTAGTGTAGCGCGCTGGTCGCTGATCCGACGATGAATCTGTGGTTGGGGACTGGATGTATTACAATGTGCTGATCTCTCCCCAACTAACTCTTTTAATCATCAGCAAAGCGGAATTGGTGTTGGCTGCAAAAGAAGTGTTTTATCCCGCGGCTAAGTTTGTGCATTCGGTTTGTGAAAGTGCAGCAGCACCCTGTGCTGCTTGTGGGTGCAGATAGCATGTTCATCAGTTGATTGGATGCATCAGTGTCGGCTAGTTAGGATGTTGCATTAGCTTGTCGACTTCGTCGAAGGAAACTTAGACCTTAGGCAAGATGAAGTTGAGTGTGTTCTAGCAGAAGGCTTTTCTTTCGATAAGACCAGTTTAACGTTGCTGCATTTGCCTCCTCCTGGCGGATTCTTTCCGGCATTCTAGATGCTGGATTTACATTCAGAAATATGATTCTCATTTGCCAAGATAGAGTTTTCATAACACGGTCTTGACTTCTTGATTCTAGGCCAAGTAATGGAAGCATTCTAATGTTATTGATTCAACTTAATCTCCATATGTATGTTCTTAATTGCTCTAGGTCTTATATAAATGTATGAAAATCATTCAACAGAGTGGCAAAAGGCTAGTACTTCATAATACATGTTATCATTAGGCTAGGGATTTGGTGTTTTTTATGCTAGCGGCAGATTTCTACTTGTATTTGGCTATTAGTGGGAAACCACATTTTTTTATATATGGCCTATTAAGCTTGTATCGACTAGCATCTAAAAACACTCTCTATGTTGCCATATGTGTGGTGCCATAAGCTCGATCATATTTAAGATTATCAGGTAGATTGGATAGCGATTGGGGTAAATCTTCTTCTTCTAATATGAAGTAGTTACCCTATCTACTCTGTTCTTCTTTCAATCACATGTAACTGCCAGTGTGCTTTTCTAATCCCCTATAACTAGTAAAATTTGGATTACTATGTGCAGGAATGGAAGCCAATAGGGGTCAGGGTGGGATTCAGCAGTTGCTTGCTGCAGAACAAGAAGCTCAACAAATTGTTAATACTGCCCGAAATGGTATAACATCATGAGCTTTCGCGATAATTTGATGCATCGGCATATTGCACGCACTCTCGAAGTTGAAGTCCCAATCTTCAACGTGCATTGCATTTACTTTTACATGTAAGAAGGATATGAAAGTTAGTGTATCTCTTAATCGGTTCCTTGTTGTGGGGGGAATATGTTGTTAAAGAAAGATCTGACACTCAGGTGGGATGATGCTTTTGGATAATTTGCCGACTGCAAGTCATTTTTTTAGCATTTGCGAAAGGTTGCATTTGTTAAAACCTTTCGGTGCTGTGTTTTTCAAAGCTTGTTCTGTCATAACATAATCTTTGCCTTTTCAGCAAAAATGACCAGACTGAAACAAGCCAAAGAAGAGGCTGAAAAGGAAATCGCAGAATATCGATCTCAGATGGAACTTGCTTTCCAGAAAAAGGTTGCAGCGGTAAGTTTTTGTGTTGATTTATTCCTTATCCTTAGTACACTCTCTGGTCTGCAAAGAAACGGTCTTTTATCATCTTTGAGTTCTTGAAACATCGAATTTTCTTGTAGACTCACCCTCTTTTAGAATGTCGATAACTGCTGACTTGGTTTCCATGTTGCCTTGCAATCATCCAACAGAGTAGCGGAGACTCAGGTGCCAATGTCAAGCGGCTCGAACAAGAGACTGACACCAAGATAAGCAACCTAAAAATAGAAGCTGGCAGAATATCACATGATGTTGTGCAGATGCTTCTGAAGCAGGTGACAACTGTGAAGAATTAGGCCTTTGCTTGCAAAGAAGTGAACTTTATGTAATCTGGTAGCATGTTCAATTTGTACTGTGCCTTCTTGCTTCTCAGACGCATCATGAATGGCTAAATCAATGGTTGTTTAACATAGGCAGACAGCACCTGTGACTCGAATAAGCATGTTGTTCGTTGCATGTGAGTTTTATTTATGTGATGCGGCTCCTCTCATTCCCCGTCTAATATCCAAGATGTTCCGGGGAGATCGACTCATCCGAGTATTGCAGAGTGAGTAAAGGTTTACCGTTTGCCTATGGAATTTATGGATCTGATTCATGCCAAATTGCCATGTGTTGTCGACTTGATGGTCGGATATCAAATGTCTTTTCGTGCATGGCAAGTCTGCTATGGTTGAGGAGATTGTGTATTGGTCACATTTGGCACTATAGGTTGATAAAGCTAGAGAGAAAAATGAGAGAGCACTGGCTGATGTTTGTATGACTAGTCGGAATTCGTAAGACCTTAAGACTACATTTGGTAGTCCGGATTTGAGTCCGGGTAGTATAAATTGTTATCCTGTTCGGTGTTTGGGGACGTTCTTCGGACCGGACAAACCCGGATATGTTTGGATAAAATGCCGGATAAAAAATTCGGAGAAGAGGGTGGGATAAGCCCGGATTGGATAAGAATTTTCTTTTTGAAAAAAAAAAATTATCAAAAGGAGAAGTGATCGTAGTCATCCACATCAAATGGATCCAAATTGGCCTTTAGGAAGTTTTCTCAATAGCATTTGCATCGTCGAGTCTTTGAGATGTCCTCTGGTTGTTCCAAAGAAAGTTCTCTTGTTGAACTAATCGAAGCAATACTTACATGGCCTCAAACATTGGTGGCCGGAACTTTGGCTCCGCCTGCACTACCTTATTGACACAGTGATCAATATCGTAGTGGACAAAAGAATCCTCATCTAGGACACGAATGTCTCAAGGGAAAAGGGGAAGATGGTGATGAAGATGCTGGAAATCTTCGGTATAGCCGACAAATTGGACCTCGATCGATCTGAGGCGACGCAAAGACAATGCCAGTGGTCGCCAGAAAGTCCCCTGCCCACTCTAGTTGTCGTGATTTTAGATCTACTGATCTATGTCGCTGCTGCACAGCGATGTTGGTGGTCGCCGTTTTCGCTCGCGGCCACCGTGGAGTCAGTGGCCACAATTCCCAGATCTAGGGTTTTTCCTTAGCTTTTAATTAATTGAATTTTTTAACTTTCAATTTTATAATTAAATCGAATATTTTATTTATTTTTTAATCTTATCTTGAAGGGTACTAAACACTCGATGGGATCAAATATGTCCACATTTATTATCCGAAAGATTTGGTATCCTACTTTATATCATACTCGAAGGTATCAAATATGTCCACCTTTATTATCCGGAAGATTTGGTATCCCACTTTATATCATATCCCAAGTCTTTGTCCCGATAGCCAAATGCGGCCTAAGATTATAAAGGCCTCCGAGCAGGAACTTGCATCGGGTGTCCCGTTGGCCTCACATGGTCAAAAGAGCGAGTCATAATTCTGGTTTTTCGATGTAGAAGAGGATGGTGCCAAATAAAATCAGCCAAAGCTCGAAGGTACTTCTCGGGCTTCACGTGATAGATCCGGGCCTTTTGAACTGGGTATACAGCTATGATGTTGGCAGTCATATCCAACGTATGAAACAAAATTGGAATCTAAGAAAGAAGAACACTTTAACATTAAAAAATTTTGGAATATAAGTACCTCCGACCCTCGTTGACTCAAGGCATCAATCTGACTCTCCTTTTCTCTTTTCTATTTCGAGATACAGAAACATTTGAACTTCGACCTGTCGTTTTTGCTTAACGAGGAAACTGGGAATGAAGACTCCTCTCTCTTGAGCTTTCAAACCAAAAGGATGGGACTGTGGATTCGAAGTGGACATGGCAGAGAGAGGCAGAGAGAGGCAGAGAGAGAGAGAGAGAGAGAGAGAGAGATGGGCTTTGCTTTTCTAGCCGCCGTGTTCTTTCTAATGGCGTGGTGGAGTACACGTGTAGTGCACAATTATATGTGCGCTTTCCTACTTTGGTCTTTCTAGTGATTAGAAAGCTTAAGTTGAGCTTATCACAAATTTAATCTTTTCTTAGGCTATATCTTTGTTTCGCCGAAAACTTCGCGATAAAAGAAAATACTTTTCATGAATTTTCATTTGTTTGGTAATTTTAAAAAAGTGATTGCCGAAAAGAAAAAATCATTTTTCCTCGATCCATAGAAAACGTTTTTTGTCATCTAAATATCTAAAAGTCAGGAAATAAAATTTTGGAAATAGCGTTTTTTTTCAAACAAACAAACTCTCAAACCCATGATTGTTGATTGAGGCTGCTGCATCAAGCATTACCCAAAGCCTTAGATGGAGTAATCATGAGGGAAACGACTGATGTGTCTCCCTCAACCGTTGAGCTCCCCTTTTGCTTTTATATTCGAGACGAGACGGGACACGCAAAAATGCCCCACTTTTGTCAAAGTTTTGAGTGCAGGGTGCCTTTTGTCTTATTGTATTAATCATGGGTTGATTGACCATCGCCCTTTAATGAATTCGATACTCCTCCAACCAAATTTCGAAAGATGAGCTAATGAAACTATAATTCCTCCAAATTCCGCGATTGGAACGTGCTTCGTGGGACGAAGAAAGTACACTATTGTCTTGGAAGGTTTTGACTCGTACAAAATACCCTTGTCAAGGAAATGCTGCATTCAGACCAAATCCCCCCCCCCATTCTAATTCTAGGGTTTGACTTATTTGTGATTCCTTCTATGTCATGGCACGATCGAGCACATTGAAATTCTCTAACGACCTCCAACGGCCTTATGGAATATTGCGAGAACCGGTAGAAACTGGATTGCCCGACAAGATATTTATAGTCCAATAGTTCCTATTTTTAAGAGAGAATATACGCCTCTATTTTTAAGGATTTCTAAAATTATTGAGAATTACTTTTCGAACAACTTAATACATCTTAGCAGTAAAATCAACTTTTTTCTCAATATGACAATATGATGGATAACTCATTCGATGACGGATAATTCCACGGTGAAATGGAGGTTTGAGATTTCCGTTACGAGTAACAGGATGAGGCATGCTTCTTGGTACGTTTTATACAATTTCTCGATAAAAAGAATGATCTTTTTTTTATAAAAAGAAAAAAACTTGACCAAGTGAATAGGTTTTATTAATTTTGCACAGGAAAAACAATAAGGCGGAAAACCCCCGAAGAAGAAAGAAGAGATGCTCTCGGACAAGATAGTGCGAAGGATCTTGCCCGAAAAAAGAAACAAGAACCTGCATAATTTGCAGGAAGTGGGAGGAGCTGCGGCATTTCTGTCAGTGAATCCACCTTCATTACCTCCCATCTTTCTTTGAAGTGGAAACTCCATTTCATGCCAAATTCCAAAATTAAATATTATTTATACTAATCAAATATAATTAAAAAAAAATGGTTAAAGTAGAAGAAGAAGGAGAAGAGAGAGAGAGAGAGAAAGAGGAGAGGAGAGAGAGAGAATAGCTTTGTGAATTTTAGCATCCCCTCTCTCTCTCTCATCAATGGTGTTTTGGGTGGAGCTTTACGCAACCCATTACCTCTGTCCCTCGATCAAATCTTCCTCCGCACCTCCACTTCAATCCCGTTTCCTCCAATCCCTCTCTCTCTCTTTCTGCGCTCACTCTGCTCGATCGTGGAGTTTCTCTCCTGCACGGTTGCTCTAGTTGCGATTCGTGATGATCCTGATGGTGAAGATCGCTTTTTGATGCCTGAGCAGTCCAATGCTCCTTCCCTAGTTGCCTAATTTCGATCGATTCGGAAGACCCAGTTGTTCTTTTCCTTGTGCTTTTTGCCCCGAAGGAATTCCATGGGCAACAGCGGAAGCGGCCGCCGGAGGCACGGGAGCCGGCGCGGCCACCCTCCGCCGCCGCAGCAGCAGCCGGAGGTCACCTCCAACAGGTACGTCGTCACGGCCGCGACCACGTACCCGCCCCAGTACCCGAGCCCTAACCCGCCTCCGCAGTACTACCAGTACCCCGGGTACTACCCTCCGCCGCCCCCGCCGGCGACCCCTTCGCCGCTCCCGGCGCCGTACGACCACCACCATCATCCCCGGGGCGGTGGTGGCCCGCCGCATGCGGAACAGGTCCACGGGAATTGGGTCGGCGGGAGGTACCCGTGCGGGCCGGTTATGATGATGCCTTATGTGGAGCACCAGAAGGCGGTTACCATTAGGAATGATGTGAACATTAAGAAGGAGACACTGAGGATTGAGCCTGATGAGGAGAATCCTGGGAAGTTTCTGGTTTCGTTCACTTTTGATGCCGCTGTCGATGGAAGGTATTGCTTTTTGTAGCTTCAGTAGCTTTTGTTAGATCATGGTCTCGAAGTGTAATCTGTGATTTACCTTACGTCAGGTTGCTCTGTCCATGGATAATGATATCATTTGATGTGATGTGATACTACAGAGAATAGAGTATCTGGTAGAAAAGGATTTTGCATTATATGAGTTCGTCGCATGTATATTTTCGCTGATTTGATCCGCGGAGGGACAATTGTACTTTCTGTTTGGTTAATTGTCTCCGTGCCTCAATGCACCGACTTTCTTTTTAAATCCGTCCTCACAGTGTAACGAACTTATAGTGGAAGGTTGATTTTCGGGAGCTTAGGAAGGATACCAAATCTGTATGCTGTGACTCGGGCCAGCATATACTCATGTTGTGTTCGGATGAAATGTCAAGGAGATTCTTAATGTATGATGGGTTGAAAAGAAGCTTTTGTAGTTTGACAGACTTATTGATAGGCAATGACAATGTGATCGACCTGACATACCATAGCCTAAGATATTATGAGTTTGAAACAAGCAAAGAGCATCGTGGATGGATTGCGAGTGACGAACGCTGAGCATTATGAAGGGGATGCGAGTGACGGATACTGTTGCGGTTTCTAAATGAATAAACGCAGCACAAATGTTTCCTCCTTTTTTCGTGCTGATAGCTTGTGAGTTCTCTATATTGTGATACAACAGAGTTATGGATTGCAAAAGAGAGATATAGCAAGTGCTGAAATGCTTCTTTTCATTGAGAGGTGCAGAGTTATGGTAGTGAATGGGTTCTTAAGAAATTGCGTATTGGTTTGTGAGTATAACTGTAGTTAAGGTGCATCTTTTAGCATTTTGGACTGTCCATTTTTCTTCTCGCTGATGTCACTTAGATCTTACACTGCCGATCTTTATGTGGGACTTCATGTTCATATCTCCTTTGAAAGGATGGTTTAATTGGATTGCTGTGCGTTGATCGTCTTAGGCGTGTCACTTGTGTTAAACAATTTTTCTTTGGCGGTAGAAATTGTTTTATCTACATATCAGAGTGTCGTAAATTTGATTTGAACGTATCATACCTCTGATCTGGAAGAGCTTTTTCATTTTGTCATCTCCATTCGTATATTGTCGACCCAATAGACTGGAAAATTGTCAGCTGACATTGGTTAAATAAACCATGCTCTGTTATTTTTTCATCTGTCTAATTTTATAGTCTTGCTACAGAATCACAGTGGTTTTCTTTGCAAAGGAAGGGGAGGACTGTAGTCTCAGTGCAATGAAAGAAGACCTTCTACGACCAGTAATAGTGGAATTCCGGGGAGGTCTTGGCCAGAAGTTTAAACAGCCCTCTGGAACAGGAATCGAATTTTCAATGTTCGAGGAGACAGAATTAAGATACAGTGACACAGACGTGTGTCCTCTAGCAGTGAAGGCGGAGTCATCCTTGGGTACCCAGAAAGGTCCTGATGGGAATGCCATGTCGAGAACCATGAACTCTCAGATAACTCAGGTTGTGTTTGAGAAGGAGAAGGGCGAATATCAGGTGCGGGTTGTGAAGCAGATCTTGTGGGTGAATGGAATGAGGTATGAGTTGCAGGAGATTTATGGCATCGGGAACTCGGTCGAGAGTGACATCGATGGAAATGACCCTGGAAAGGAATGCGTGATTTGCCTGTCAGAACCAAGGGACACAACTGTCCTTCCCTGTCGACACATGGTAATTATGCTTCCCTAACTTTTCTTTTCGGTGTAGGACTGTGAATCCTGACTGGATTGTAAATTCTTGCTTGAGGCTTGTCAAGGTTTGTGTGTGACTAGAAAAGTTCGTTTCATTCTTACCTGAATTCTGTTGAGTTCTTTGTCGAATTATCAAAACACAGTGTGAAATCCTGGTTTACCAAATTATACAAGGGTTGTTCAACTCACTAGAGGATCATGTTAATTGCTCCCCTCCATGACAGCAACTCACTGAATAAAGAGAAGGAAAAGGTAAAAGAGTGAATTAAATCCAAGCCTAGGGAAGAGACAATGCTATACTGCATCAATCTACCCTATTATCAAATTGATGAAACGTGACGGTTAATGAATGTTTTGAGGGGTTTCGGCATCCGATTTTGCTCATGATGGTGGTTTAGCTGTTTAGGAAAGTCCAAGTATTCAACTCATCCTGAAGTGAACATATCCGATTGAATTGTTAATCTGGTGTTGCTTGTTAGGGTTTAACAGTGACAACGCCTTGTGGTATTCATATTATCAGTGTCTTTTGGTCAGCTTTAGCACTATGTTCTTCACTTTCCTCTCTCCTTCAACAATACTTTGCTTTCACTCAACTGGTCTATCAAGAGGGCAGTTTTGATTTCCTTTCTCTCTCTCTTCATGGTACAGTGTATGTGTAGCGGGTGTGCGAAGGTTTTGAGGTTCCAGACAAACAGGTGTCCCATCTGTCGGCAACCGGTCGAGAGGCTTCTGGAGATCAAGGTCAGCAGTGCTGCTGACGAATGAAGTTGCCGTTTATTAGCATGCTCATGCTGTATAATAGTCCTTTGGTTTTGTTCCTTCTTTTTATTTTTGTTTTCTTTGAAATTCTTTTTTTTCTCCCTTCCTCTGTGCTTATTCAGTCTTTGCCTGTGCAATGATCACATGGCGAGTTTTACTCACCAAGGCACGACGAAGCGTTTGCTCTGAATCCATCAAAGAACATACTGCTTATTTATACTTCCGGGTGTTGTTTACGTGACATTCTAAGTAGTTCATGCAATCTTAGCTCCTCTAGCTGCTCAAGATGATGTTGTGATGAAATTCTGGCTCTGATGCTGTTTAATCCCCCCCATCACAGCTGACTTTGTGATCTATCGGATGGGTGTCAAGGGCTCTAGAGACCCGGAAATAAGACATTGAGTTCTGTTACTGAGCAGTGTCGTCGGTTAGTTCTTCTCACGTCTCGACGTGTTGGACAACCATTTGTGCCATAAACTTAACGAAGGCTTCGAATTTTCTTTGAAGTACGCCCTGTCCTGTGATCAACATCAGCAGCGCTTGAGAGTTGGAAGGCATGATGGTATAGTGGGCCGATCAGAAACTTCAAGCCCCAATCCTCTTGCAGAGTGGCCCATACTCCTTTCTCTTTCCGTTCTTAGCCAAGTGAGGACAAGAGTATCTGGGGCAAATGCCAATTGAGGATTATGCTAAAAACGACTCGCACAACGCCTCGTGCTTCTCCTCTCTATTCTCTCTAAGAGCGAGAGGGAGGAAATGCCTTCTCTTTTTTTGCCCGATCTGCGAGATCGAGCCTGCTTGCAATCCTCACAAACCATACGGGGTTGCAAAAGGGCCTTATCTCTAGTTTGCATTTGGTGATGTTGCTGTCTACGAAGGGCTCGACTATATCGAGACTGGACCTAGATGAACTCTGGATGTAAACATTTGTTAAATAGTTCTGGCTCACACGAATCGTTCCATAACAAGAGAAGTGCCCGCCAAACAAGTAGACCTGTTTAAAATGGGTCACAAATCTATTTCTTAACCTATATATTAATAGGTCGAGTTGTTTTATGGATTAGTTATATTTAGTAAATGGGTTTAGAATGGTAAAATCCAAAATAATATGTCTGTTAAATGGGTTCACAACTTACCTAGACTCAACTCACATTTATAACTCTTTTTCGCCCTCACTCGATCTCGTGCTCATTCATTTTGTGCTCTCACGTCAATTGGTTATGAATTGGATATGAGTCACTAAATTTGTATTGCATTGAAATGAATGAATTTGAATCGGATCATTTTTAATTTGATCCCACCAACTTAGTTGATTGGGCTACGAAAGTAGCAGAATTCACGTTTCAAGAAGGATGCGATGCTGTACGATAGACAGGTACTGTAACGATAAAGCACCTTCTGAATCCTGAAATCTGGTGTATAAACTTTGAAAGTTGAGACCCCTTGAAGGGGTTTCCATTGGATGATGGCACTTCGTTTTTTTGTGGAAAGTGAGTGTCCCACCCCCCCATTCAAGTGGGGGAGTGGGCAAGGTTGGCTTCCTCTTCCCAATGAAGAAGGCGAAGCTTTTGCTTTTTTACAACATCAATGTGACAAGCAACCACTTCAATGTTGTAAATAATGTCCTAACTAAATAATTCTAGATAGGTTTCCTCCATCAGTTAAATCCTTTCTTAATGTGTTTGACTTCCCCTTGTGCTTGTCACTATATTTATACTTAGCTCATAAACTAGCTTTCTTAATGTACGTATTAATAATGGTGTTGAGGATTATCATTATTTTTCTCCTACTTGCTTTATAATGAGAGAAATCCACGTGGAAGGATGGGGTATCCTATGACGACACTAGCTACTAAAAATAGTTAAATTCCTATGCCTTGGGTACAATCTGTCACTTTCGACATTCCATGCTGATTGATCACATCGCCATCATTTTTGTGCACAAGTAATTTACATTGTGCCGAAACTTGAAGCCTCCTCGGAGATTTGGAAGTTCCGGAATCAATCCAATGGACCTAATTTTTCGCAAATTCAGATGTTTCCAATACTCCCACGTCCCGAAAGATCAGATAAATCTATATCGATTCCGACTTTAATGCCGATGCACATTGGTGCGAGCCTGTGTGGCATGGCATCCCGTTAAACACGGGTTCCGATCCTAATCTTCTTAGCAAGCAATCTATTAACTTGTGGGGGTCAAAGTCAAAATCAAGAGGTTTTAGTTGACACGACTCTCTTCTTGGCACCATTTTTCGAAGAACTTTCAACAAGTTTTTTATTTTATTTTATTAGTTAATGACGCAAAATTTGGAGGGCGAGTGGCTGATGTTGGTTGACTTAGTTTTAAGAGGTAGCCGCTTTAATCTGCACGAATCGACGTAATACTTGGCTGTTGTCACTTCCAAGATAAAATCATGATTTAAATTTTGGGGGTGGAAACATGAATATCTGAAAAATTAAGGATAAGCACATGAAATGGACTTACCCGTCTGATGTCGCACTAGGGTCGGACGTTGCAACACCACGATCATATTAGCCTTTGCAACAAACCGAATCATACCTATCAAAAAAAGAAAAAGGAAAAAAACAAAACAAAGGACAAAGGGATGATCATTCGAGATTATTAATTGTGCTGACCAATCGCGCCGTGATCTCGATAAATATCTCTCTGGATACGTGGATTCATCGGACTTTTGAAAAAAATAAAATACCCTCTCAATTTTGTCCGGATCGATCGGGATTGCCAACTGTCCGATGTAGATGCAACATATCCCGTGTTTGAATCTCGGCTCTACTGTTCAAGGGTGTTTTGAGGCCGCATCCGCCATTTCACCGGTGAAGTCTTATCCGATGCGCGTAGACGCGACGGCTCTAATCTGTTCGTAGCCGCAAGATCAATTGACTTGAAAAGATTTGGATACATTCGTCGTTTATTAAAATCTTGCTGACGATTGCTCTAAGCCACTCGTTAAACACGTTAATGAAAAAAATTCATCGCTTCTAATGTCTTATCTTACTCGTTTTGCGTGTAATCATAGGATTAAAAATGAAAACATTTTTTTTATTAAATACGACTAACAAGTACTTCGAAGACATTTTAGAAAATTGTACATTATATATAATGATGGGGTACGCAAGGCAGCGGGTCCCACCATCCTGTATTTAATTAATCCGGTGAACATTGTTTGGCGGCAGAGTATTAATCAATTAGTTAGGGGAAACAAGCTAATTGGAAATCCACGGAGGAATTGATAGATACTTTTTGAACATTCGACTAATCTTCACGAACACAATTTTCCTCTCATCTCACACATGATCATTGTGGACATACGGACCTGTCTCGTGAGGAATCGATTGATTCGAACTCCGATCACAAGCCTTATCGTTTGGGGAAGCCCTTAGGGCGATCGGTTGAACAAGTCTCGCGTTAACTCGTCACAAGCAGTGTCGATACGCGTGATAATCCGACACCTGAAATCATATGACTCCGGCAATTGACTGCTGTCATCGTGAACGCATGACCCGATTTCATGGTATTTAAGCTTCGACCCCGCTAATCCCTCTTTATTGCATCTTTTTATGGAGCTTGAATGCTTTTTACATGTTTTCATGCCGAACAAAAAATAAAATGGTTTGACGATTCACATTTCAAGCACCCTGCAATTGAAAAACAATAGCTTAATTCATGAGCCTAAAGACAAAGTGTGTTCTTCAATGCAAGTGATGCTTCCAAGAAAGAAAGGCTTGCTGGTAGAAAATCTGAAATTAGTATGCTACACCAATTACATTAAACATAGGAAAAATAAATAATTTCAATGTAATTTTAAATAATTTCTTTTTCAGATGCCAGTGGTTGGTAAAGCGGCGACAGACGAAAATTATGTATTTTGCGCTCTTCTCAAGATCGACCCATAATTGACAAAGCCTGGGTTTCCTTTTTGACTTATTTTTCTTCCTAAGGCTGCGTATGGCAACCATTTTGTGCTCGGGAATAAATTCTGCTTAGAAATGATTTTTTTTTATTCTGTACTCGAAAATAATTTTTAAGCATTTGAAGACGTTTGGTAACTGCCTTAAATTTCTATTCTTAGAATAGAAAAAGAACAGAATTGCCTTTGGTAACTACACAAAATTTCATTTTATTAATAATATTTTGAATTTTTTAATATTTCTTTCTCTTTTTTTTTCCTTTTTTTCCTTCTCTTCCTTGGCCAAGGCCAGTCGCCGGCGCCAGGGTCGGCGAGGGCGTCGCGGCCCTCGCCGGTCGCGACGGCGAGGTTAGCCTCGCCTTGGTTGGGCGAGGCCTCGTCGTCGCGGCTGCGAGCCGCCCTCGCCCAGGCGACGAGGGCCGCGATGCCCTCGCTGGCCTTGGCCTGCGGCCGGCAGGCCGAAGAACAACAACAAACCAAAAAAAAAGAAGAAAATGAAAAAGAATCAGAAATGAAAAAAATTGTTCCCAGAATCAAGAAGCTACTTTTTTTTGCTTCTTGATTTTATTCCAAAACTGATTATGGGAATAATTTTTTGCAAAATTGTGCCCGGGAATAAAAAAGTTTAACAAACGAATTTCTGCTCCCAAACTAATTTTGAGAATAAAAAAATATAATTTTTTATTATTTGATAAGTTGTCAAACAGGTCTAGTAACCTGAATTCGTTATTGCACCTACTGTTTCAATATCCTTAAATTCCTAATGCCATCAAAAGCTCGACAATGGCCAGGGAAGATGGAAGTACACGTTGTACTTTCACGACCGCAGTTTCTTACAATTATTGCGCTTTGGCAATGATTAGATTGGAGGAAATAGCAGAGGAACGTGGGTCACGATTTTCGAATTGCGCAATTATAATCAAGTTTACTGTCGGAGCAGTACGGTCGATATGGTTTCTTTCTTCAATAATTGACAAAGGCTAAAGTGGGGATGTGCAGAGGAACCGGAATCACTCGGATCGCCTGAAATCGAACCGGACTAGCACGGAATAGGCGATTCTCGAGGGGATCGGTCCGGTTGCCGGTTCCAATTTACTAGAATCGGTAAGTACCGGTCCGGTTCTCGATTCTAGACGTGGAACAGCGAGAACCGCCTACACGAACCAAACCGGTAATATATATAATTTTTTAGAAAAATTTTCACAAAAAAAAGAGAAAAATTTTAAAAAAAATGAAAACCTTAAAATCTTTAATCTGAAGCTCACCGCCCATTAATTAAGTGCTCGTTTCGTCTCGTCTTACTCTCACTTTTTTTGAGTCGTTTCTCTATTTGTCACTCATGATCTCGACTCTCAGGTTCAACGTCCATTGACTCATTATCTCGACTCTTAATTCCCATCAACTCACGGCCGAGTCTTTGGCCGTTCACCGCCTCCCTCTCTTGCTCTCGATCACCTCTATTTGCGTGAAGTTTAGTGGGACCAATTCCCGATTTTGATTTTTCGCGATCAGTCCTTAATGGGCGATTCGTGGTGGGAACCATCATGCTCACCCCTAGGCTAAAGCATATTGCATGATGTGATATGTTTTGTAAACAGAGAAAAGAGGGGCAGAGAGTGGAAAAGGAAATAAGACACAAAATTCATAACATGTATATGAGAATCATATGACTGTAGGAACGAAATATGAGTCGTGTCTGTTCATCATGTTTAATAACAAGTCAGACATTACAACAGTGCACTTTCGTGGTTGCTAGGGTCGCACGAGGGTCGGTCGACCCTCGCTCGGTGGGGACGGCTGTCTCGCCCCTTGCTCGTCTCGCTAGCGGCCGAGTGCGGATCGCCGGCCCTGGTCGGCAAAGGAGGTGGCGGTGTCACCTCCCTACCCATTCCACCCCCTGTAACATTAACCAATGAACGGAAAAAAAGGTAAACATTAATTAAAGGAATCGGTTAAGATCTTCCGTCCACGCTAGCAATCGACGAAGAAGCTAACGGAGTTTCTCCGATGCATGAAGTTCGGTGCAAGTTTCAAGACTCAAGTGATCGAAATGGATGATCGATGACACAATTGAGTTATTAGACACGCATAGTAATAAACCCATTTTGCTTTTACCAGATAGCAATTTGCATAAGATGATGGGTTTGGATTAGGGGATGTGTAAAACAGACCGTCCGAACCAGCCGGTTGGATTCGGTTCTCGAGAGTGTCAGTCCGGTTCCCTTTTCCTAAAAGTGGAACCGGTGTTCGGACGGTCCGGTTCCCGATTTCGAGAGGGAGCCGGGGAGCCGGACTGGACCGACTACATGTGAACTAAATCTAAGCGAACTTCATTGACATAAATTTAGTAACGAAAATTAGTAAAGCGCGAATCAATAAAATGTAAACTAAATCCTAAAAGATGAGTTCCCGGTCCTCGGACAAACTGGTTGTGGCTCCCAACGGATCACCCTTACTTTGGACCGACAGAAGAGAGATCAACGCCGCGACAACGAATTTGGACGTAATATTTTATTTTCTTTTGAACATTCCGTTTTTTCTTAATATTATTATTCTATGTTTTTTTTGGGGGGAGTGGGGAATGGGGGGGGGGGGGGGGGGGCAGTAATAGTATACTATAATGTCTCTGGTCCTGACTTTGGCTCTTGCGTGGTGGCGGGTGGGGACTTGCAAACGTTAAAAACAGGGGAGGCGAAAAAGCCAAAGGAGGAGACGACAACCGATTTCTGTTTTGCTTTCTCTCCTCCTCTCCTCTCCTCTCTTTCTCTCTCTCTCTCGCGAGCACTCGCGCCTTGTCCTTGTCCTCTTCCGCCTTCGCCCTCCTTCCTTACCATCTCTCCCTTTCTCAAAACTAGCTGCCGCAGCAGCTGGGTTCCGCGCTCGAGCTTCGCGCGACAATCCCCGCGATACCCTCGGCAGTCGCGCGCGACGACGCGTACGCGGCGCTCTCGTTTCGTAACTCTCCGAGCTTTTGACCTTTTCGCTCTCGTTTCTTGTGGGCATGGGGAACGGAGACGGAGACGGAGACGGAGACGGAGACGGAGGCGGACGGGTGGCGAGAGATGATAATGTCGACGCTCGCGGGGTGGTGGATGTCGACTGTCCATGTCCGGAGGTACTCGCTGACTCGCCTTTTTGTCTTGCTGCTTCTTTCTTTTTGCATGTTGTCGCTCTGCTTGAAATGGGTTTTTGAGCGTTTGAGGTTTTTGGCTTTCTGGGTAACCGTTGGCTTTCTCGGGTGATTCTGAATTGTCGCGCTGCTTTCGAGTTGGAATCGTGGGATTGTTGTCCTCGGAGTGGTTGTTCTCCCGCCTGGTTTGGGTCCGATTTGTGTGTGGTGGTCACATGCTCTGTATTGTGCGGCTAGTGTCTGGACTTGATTCATGCTTTAGTGGAGTGCTTTCCTCTCTTTGGGAAAAAAAAAACATTTCCGTGAAAGAACACGCAGCAGAGGAAGACAAGTGTGATTGCCCGACACAACCACCACGTCCTTCGCGGTTTTGTAATGGCCTTTTTGAAGGTAAATTGGACACTGCTTGCCAAGTTACATTCTTTGGTTGAGCGATAGAGGATTCTGGCACTCCCTAGGAAAATTCGTTGACTCTTCGAGAGCCGAATTTCCTTTTTCTGTGTGGCAAAACTTTGATGGGAAATTCTAGCACTGCTACTCCTTGACTTGGAGGTAGCTAGATTTAGCTGCTTAGATGACGGCAACGCACTCCTGATGTGCGAAAGAACTTCTCTTAGCTTGTTTTGCAGGTCAGGAGTGCTCCGGAAATAATCGAAGAAATCCCAGACGCTGATCATCAAGGACGGCAGAGCCTGGTCCTACAGATACCCACAAGAACCTCTGAGTTTGGTAGAGAGGATTCTGCGGTAATAGATATTCCACCAACGTCTAACCTTACTCCCAGAAGAGTCAACTTTTCGCCCATGCCCAGTCCCAGTTTTGGCAAAGTGGATGGAACTTCCGCCCCCTCCCCATCAAATCGCAGAACTATGAAAAGCCTCCTTCCCAAACTGAGTTTTAAGTTTCGAAATAATACTTTTGACATTGAGAAGGCGGCAATGGTAGCATTGGGTGCTTCTCCAGCAGGAAGAAGGGAGAGACCTCTCATTCCAAGGACGTTCTCTTTTACGCGGCTTTTCACTCCCAGAATGAAAACAGCGTCGTCCGTACCTGTCACTCCAATTGCTCATTCCAATCCAGAGTCTATGCATGGACGGAACACAGCCGAACAGCTAAGTTCTGTGGTGAGGATAACCTTTCTCTTTTGGTTGTGCATTATGGTCTTACTTAACTGGAGAACTTATCGATCACCCAAGCTGACCATTTTTTAGGTGGCAAGTATCAAACATCAATGCAAGTTCCACTTTTATCCTGTCAAATCTCGGTGTTCTATCGCTAATCGAGTTGTGACAACAACCATGAAGTCCTTTCCTCTCAAATTGACTAAATTGATCTAATGTGCTCTTTCCAGTCCATTTATTGTTTATTATGTCTAGTACACCAAAAATCGCTGCAATTTTCTTAGTGTTGACATTGGAGATTCTTTCTCTCGAAGACATCACGTCATGCTAACTCTTACAAATTTATGCTGGCAATCACTGCAAATGCCTGGGATTCAGCCCATGTTTCCTTGTCTTTAGTTTTAGTTGGCACCAGAATCTGTAGCTTCTCGATGAGTGAAATCATCGTCACAAGGACTTTTAAAGATGTGAAACAAGCATGTAATAGCTAAACTGCTTTTCTCTGAATTACAATCAGCTTAAGATTTATATCTTGTGGTCTCTAGTTTGGTCACTGTGAGGTCGGTTTGTTCCTATTCACCTGTTCACAGCATTGCTTTGCACAGAGCTAAGATACCGGCGCATTGAGCGGAAGATGACCCTTATAGAGTGAAATTCTCTGACCATTATGGCGTATTGTTTTCTTGCAGTTTATAGTTTATACCGGTAGATCCTTACTTACAAAGTTAGTAGTGAACTCCTCCTTTTAATCACTATATCTGTTCTCTGCTTGTTGTGGTTTTAGATCAATAACACAGTGTTATTCGTTAATAACTGAGTATAATGCTAGTTGATTTCCTTAATGTATGTCCTTATCGCTGGTTTTTCCTGTTCTGGTTTCTTTCTTCTCAGAAAGCTGAGGTCCGACCATCTATTCACCGATCACGTTCAGTCCCCGTGATTAACAAAGATGGGAGCATAAGGCCAATGGATTCTTTAGTCAACATGTTTCGCATGGTTCCCACAACTCCCCGGGTCGCTGCAGATGCCAGTGTATCAGATGCAGCTCCTACAGGTGATACTGGTAAATAAATCATTTGAGCGAAATATCTCCAGTTGTCTGCACCAACCCTCATGCCGCATGTGGTGTACAATCTGAAACCTGAAATTTGAATTTCCTTGCTGACCTTGCATTGAGAGACCCAGGCTTTCAATCTGCATTTGATTTACACCAGTGGGAAAAGTTAGACATTTCATCTGAATGCAGATCTAACCTGGTTTTTTGTGTCCTAAAGCAGCGAAGTGTGTGTCCTAATACAGATTTTCCGTCTGTCCTGAAAATTGATTACTGAAACCGGACAGATGTCTTGTCCGTTGAGATCTCTAATTCATTTGAACCGTACTTTCAATTGTGCGAAATGTTCCTTTCAATTGTTAGATCTTCACTTGTGTGAAAAGTTACTTCTACGATGATTCCGGCTAGTCATGGCCACGGTTCGGAACCGACCGGTTCCGGTTCGTGGCCAAGTATGAACCGGAACCCGACGGTTCCGGGCCGGTTCCGGTTCCGGTTCAGGTTCGGAACCGGTTCCGGGCCGGTTCATAATTTTTCTTTTCTGTTTTTTTTCTTTTTCTTTTCCTTTTCTTTTTTTTTTTCTTTTCTTCCTCCGCCGGCCATAGCCGGGGCCGGCGGAGGTCGCCGGCCTCAGGCGAGGCCGCCCTCGCCGGCGTCGGGTGAGGGCCGCCCTGCCGGGCCGGGCGAGGCCGGCCTCGCCGGATCGGGTGAGGGCTCGACCTCGCCGGCGTCGGGCGAGGCCGACCTCGCTCGCACCGGCGAGGCCGGCCTCGCCCGACGCCGGTGAGGCTCGACCTCGCCGGCAACGGCGAGGCCGGCGAGGTCGAACCCTCGCCCGGATCCGGCGAGGCTCGACCTCGCCGGCAGCGGCGGCGAGGCTGGCCTCCCCTGAGGTCGGCGAGGTCGAACCCTTGCCAGATCTGGCGAGGTCGAACCCTCGCCAGATCTGCAGCTTCTTCTTCTTTTTTTTTTTTTTGAACCGGGCCCGGAACCGGCGGTTCCGGGCCGGTTCAAAAATTTCTGGAACCGGAACCGGGCCCGTAGGGCACGGGCCGGTTCCGGTTCCAAACCGCGGGCCCGGGTTTGACCGGGCCGGTTCCGGTCCGGTTCCGGGCCGAAACCGGCCCGTGGCCATGACTAATTCCGGCTAAGTTGTGGGGTTTCCAGCATGTCTCTTTGCACCTTGGACTTTTGGTCATAGCTTATCCTACCCTTGCATATTCAGTTTGGAAAATGTGTTTTGGTCTGTTATGTTAGGTCAATCTCACCACGTAATATTTTTCATTCTTGTGATATAGGATATTCTGACCTACAATTCATCTTAGTCCTATGGTTCAGATGAAAACCGTGATGATGGAGAAGATATTCCTGAAGAAGAAGCAGTCTGTCGAATATGCTTTATTGAACTTGGAGAAGGCTCGGACACACTTAAGATGGAATGTAGTTGCAAAGGTGAATTGGCACTAGCTCATCAAGAATGTGCCATAAAATGGTTTAGCATCAAAGGTAATAAGATATGCGATGTGTGCAAGCAAGAAGTCCGGAACCTACCTGTCACTCTTTTGAGAATTCAAAATCTTCAAGCCCGTAACTCACAAGGAATTGGAGCTCCTGAGGTTGTTCAATACAGGTAATTAGTACGTCCACATAAGTACTGCTGCTGTAAGTAGTACTATTTTTCTTCATCAAATCACTATTTTGTGTTGTATTATGCAAGAGGAACAAACACATTTACAAGTGGATGTCCTCTTAGATATTGTCCTGTACAACAAGTAGAAGGAATGTGAAATATTTGAAGATCTTGTTGAGCAATGTAATGCCATACGAACCCTAACAAATTACAAGTTGATTAGTGCCTATTTGACCAGTGCATGCACTTAAATTTTATCACAGGTTCCCATATTCATTCATGCACAGTAGGGCCAATAATGAAACAATACGAGATTAGCAAGCTTCTATGCTATTTTGATTTTCATGACTGACAATAATGGAATTGTACCAAAATCATGACAGGTTGTGGCAGGATGTCCCGGTTCTTGTCATTGTCAGCATGCTCGCTTATTTTTGCTTTCTCGAGCAGCTTCTGGTAAGTGTTGAACATTCTCATGTGGCTTTTCTAAGCCTTCAAGGTCAAGAGCGTATAATTATTGTCTTCGCAGGTAGGCAAAATGGGTTCTGGCGCTATTGCCATTTCTCTCCCATTTTCCTGTATTTTAGGGCTTCTTGCGTCCATGACATCCTCCACCATGGGTAAGTCTAAATTCTTAGTGTTCACAATGGCAATGTCCCGTCTCCTTTACAAGATTTAGTGATTGCATTATAACACTGATGGATCTGAAAGTTGTTTCAGTGCAAAGAAGATTTGTCTGGATTTATGCAGCTATTCAGTTTGGGCTGGTGGTTCTATCAGCACATCTTTTTTATTCACTGGTGAGAACTTAAGTCATAGATGTTATTTTGGAAGTTTCATAATGCTGCTTGGAGAGTAGATCTGATGTAGTTTTCTCAAGAAAGTTAAGAACCTTGATGGGCCTCGGAGTTAGATGACACCCATCTTTCTGCGAGATGAATCACCATTGGCTTTTAAGTTCCAAGCCATGCTTGATTGCAGAGACCATGTTATTTATATAGTTTTTTGAGAAATTATGTCTTTTTTGCAGCTTCACCTGCAAGCTGTTCTATCAGTTCTCCTAGCTACCTTCGCCGGATTTGGGATGACAATGTGCGGGACTTCTATTCTAGTTGAGATTTCGAAATGGAGGGTCTGGTGGCTGGCCCGATCAGCACAAAGACATAATGCCCAGGAGAACTCGCAGTTTGATCAAATGCCCGTGGCTGTGGAGCAGAACCATATGCAACCACAGCATCAAGAAACTGAACCGGGGAACTCAGAAACTTCACGTGGTAACTGACTTGATATGTATAAAAGTGCACGAGGCTGCTATGGAAACAAGCTGCATCAACTGTATAGAAACCATCTTCATCTTCTTCTTGGCCGATTCCGGTCTTTTGTTAGCTGGGGGATACATTTGGTGCCCGGTTCTATTGCTGTTATATCTTCGTTTGGCTAATTGCAGTCTTTGTTAGCTGTGGATACGTTCGATGCCCTTGGCATATACTTGAAGCATAAAAATATGTTGTCTTTGCTTTTTATCAACCTGTATGTTTGGATCATTAGTCGTCAATTAGCAAAATGCGTCGTGACCAGATGAACATGGTAAAACCAGCTCATCTTCGAAGGATGCGATGCTCCGTGAAAGGTCTATAATAAATTTTGTGTCCATCGGTAGTTGTATTGTTGTATCAAATACATCGTTTTGGCTATCATTATCTCTGAATCTCCCGTATCCCAAAATCAACTACTATCGGGGACTTCTTATCTCGGCCAAAACTACTACCGCGGACTTAAAAGGTAATCATAATAAGCCTGTTTGTATTCAAGGGAAAATATCTCTACTAGGAACAACTTCGCCATCTTGGCATCATTGCTAGTCCATAGATATCCCGTGTACAAGCCAATGGCTACTTCGGAACACCCTTGGGATGATAACCCACCGATTTCAAGTTCCCCCCTCAAAAGTTCGTTGAATTGTAAGTTTGTGCCTGTGGTGATGGATACAGAATGCATAGGCATCAACTGGGATGTTTGTGAATTAAATTGACTACTGAATACATTGGGCTGTATAATCTGCATCAAGACCACACTATGAATAGTAGAAAACGAAAGGATGCCACGGGATCGAGTAGGCTTGGTTGCTAAAGCCCTCACGACATCATCTATTGCTCAACAACTCTGGGTAACTCGAAACATTAGTGATTATCGGGCTGAACAACTAAAGCTCCATCAAGCATTAGAAGGCGACGGCAAAGAGAAAAGAAATGAAAAAAAAAGGGCGCACAAATGAAGTTTACGGGAGCATCATACTCAGAATGGCCATTTTATAAATAACTCATTTGGGCAGAATCAATTTCGTCGACTGTCACTTTCATGCTTCAATCCTTATACTACCTACATCCTCCTTTTCCCATACTCATCGGTGCCATCAATTGCACCTTTATCCCGAATATACAAAGGAACCAGTTGGCCAACCCAACAAAAATTAGATTACATTTACACAAACCAACTGAATGAACAATATGACAAGGCCACGTCAGTGACCAAATATTCTGCCTCCATGGAAAAAACCACCATTGGTACTGCTCATTGCTTGTCCGGAATAATTAACCTTGGTTGACAAGAAAGGATTATCCTTCAAACTTGTATCCTGGGAAAAAATAAAACACCACTTTTACTGATCATTGTTTGTAGCCGGAATAACTAACCTTTGTTGATGGAGGCTTATCCTTCAAACTCGTACTCAAAACCGTCTCCACATTGCTTGCTTGACTTTCAGCAACCCCAGGTCTCATCCAAACTTTCGTGTGACCCTCCCGGCATACCGTCAAAACTGACTCTTGGGTAAATATCAAGCCAGATAGAGGTTCGGTGTGCACTCTATGAGCGACCAGTGGAGATAATTTTGGGACATCTAGCATGCTAGGAGCTGGTTGGAGGATACCTACTGGAGGAGTGCTGTCCCAATGAGCAGACTGGCTTCCAGTACTGAAAGTGGGTGAGCCACCCGGAGGGCGCCTCAGTGGGACCACAATTTCGTCCAACTCTAAGTCCCACAAAAGTAACTGTGTATCCTGCTCAGACAGGCACATCAGAACAAGGGTAAACTAACACGGAAAACCCAGCAGCAGAAGACGTTGACGGCAGGAAACGTAAAATGAACTGAGACAGTGCAGTACACCAATTAACCTCTTCTTCAGTTCGGAAGATTTTAGCTATCAATGGGCTTAAGAGAATTCCCCAAACAAAATAAAACCAGAACTGGAGTATCTCCAAATGCTTTGGTCGCATATTCAGTTTCTGAATATCAGATTTGCACTTTCCTAAGTGGCTCAAAAGTCAGGTTACTACGTCCAAGATGGAAGAAAGTCCATAAAGAAGCCAACGAAAGGTATAACGAATAAAATTCGATAAACATGTGAATATTGATTTATCTCTAGCCATTGCTTGGACATCTTTCAGGCACTCAATCTGTTTGGGCTTTCATATAACAAATGTGGGGCTTTCAGAATGGCTATTTACGTCCTATTTGGTATTATTTTCAAAATTAACTCATCTTCCATGACCCACATTGATTTCAAGAAGAGAGTAATCTTAGTCCTCAATTTGTCAAACATGTCATTCAAATCAATACAATCTATTGACTACGTTGCAAATAGAGAGACAGAAAATTTCATCTGCATACAGCCTCCAGCAGTCCTCTTCAAGTGGGCTTGTATTGCTACATGGTTCCTGCTCATTTCTTCGCAAGTAATTTTTTCTTACTTTCAAGAGGTTAATCTAGGATTCTCACCGCTACATTGCAGACCAGATTTCCATTCTTCATATACATAAAAAAAATTGTCCAAACGCTCTATGTTCCTCATTCAAAAATCAATAAGTGACCAACCAAAACCGAACTGGATTGATTAGAGTGATGGTGCATACAGGGTCTGTACTAGGTGAAAAGGTGGGAGTCCTCTGATATCTTATTTCTAGCAAGGAACTCCCTCCTAGACATGTTTAGCCTATGGACCATTAATTTTTGCAAAACCACACACAGATAATAAGTGACTCAAGAAAATTTGCAAATATGACATTGACTAAATACAATTTTCCACCTGATAACACTCAGCAGAGCATTTCTAGAGATAACTGATCCTGGAACTACATTTTAGCCTGCATTCACATAAAGTAAAATTTGGGAAAAAAATTGCATCAAAAGGCTCACGGTTATTCTAGGAAATACATGGATCACACTCGAATTGAAGCTCAATGTAGAGACAGATATTTTTGAGCCAAGAATAGAGATGTCCTTCATTCCATTAAAAACTTTGTTTGGCCAAAAAATATCATATTTGTCACCTCCATTGTTCGATATTCTCTTCCCTTTTTTGGTTTGGCAATTACCATAAAATTTAAGGTTTCACGAACCTTAGAGGTCAACACCTGAGCCACATGAAATAGTCAGGCAATACCCTAACAGCCACTACTTTTGATGGCAAACTATCCATATCGACATCCTTACAACATTGGCAGTAAAAAGAGTGGCGTATGCATTTTGGCTTCAGTGATGAGGAATCATTGAATGAGCCAAGAGGTCCCACCTTCAACTCTTACTAGTTCGAACGGTCTGTTTCTTATGAGGATTAATATTACAAAGAAACTATTGGCTCCATCAAGCATAAGGATTTTTCTAAAATTGCGAAAGAATAGGATCAGATAAACATATTCAAATCTATCATTGGGTAAGTAACAAAAAGATGACCACAAGCACTTTTTAATACCTGACCCACTGAACCGAACCGGTACATCACAGACTCCCCTGTGTCATCAGCATTGGGTGGTGACCAGTATGAATCAAAAGCCACTCCACTTACCTGCAGCACCATCAAGTCTCATAATGTATATGAAAGCTTGCAACTAAAGGCAAGAAATAAAGCTCATAATCGCTAAGCTAAATCTCACCCATGAATTGTGCCCCTCGCCCCATGCAACAACCTTCCTTTCTTCCATACTCCAGACTTGTACCAAGTCATCTTCACCTCCAGCAAGAATGTATTTTCCATCCATGCTGTCAAGGGACATCATCCTCTCAGATTTTAGAATAGTTAAAATACTAACGTTTCAGATGCATGAGATAGTGCAAGTTATGATTTCTTCTCTATTAATTAAAGTACCAAAAGTAATCTTATGGCAAAGCCCAATCAAATGTTGTATCATCAATGCCAAAGAAGTGAATAAGCTACCTCCAAGCACAACATAACAAAGCACCATAATAACTTTTGCCACCACATATCAGCTGTTCCTTTGAATAGTCAAAGACTCTTAAATATCCTGGATCAACAAATTGCTTGAACTCAGATATGCTTTTGGAACATAGAAAAGAAGCAAAAAAATAAATATAATCGACGTGCAAATGATTCAGATGATTTACCATCTCTTCCAACAGCTGCTAAGTAGGCTCCATCTGTCGAGAATGCTATGCTGTTAATTGAACCTTGGCAAATATGCCACCGGGCTATGGGGTTACTCTGCACACGGGAAATAACAAAAAGGAAATGACAGGTAAAACTATTGCACCAAAACAACTGCTCTTCTAGATGCCGACTCTTTTCTTTAACATGTTAGGAACTATGAACCTACATGGGAAAACAGCTGAACACAAAATATGAAGCTCTCTGCAGTTAATGCAAGATGTTTATGCACAGACTCTACAAAGACTCAAAAGAAGAAATACAAGCTCTAAAGCATCTTCCAGAGCCTTCAACTTAATTCTTATAAACGAAAGCATATTTTCATGTAAAGTGAAATCTGCAAGAAACGTCAGACGAGCACGCATTCAATTCTGGTGTAGAGTTATCTTATCAGTGGCTTTTGGCAAATGTGTTTCCTGCCTACTATCTGTATATCAGTTGGTCAGTAAATAGGAAAAATTAAAAAACTATCGCTGCGACATCCCTCGTGTGTTCTGGCCAGATCTCATCAAATGCATATAACCAATTTAGTTGCACACAAATAGAAGGCATACCATGCATAGTGAAAATGGACAAACCATCTCCCACCCACTCTGTTTCAGGCAGTAGTCGCTAGAACTTGTATAAGACTGCTACACTAAATTGCACAGACAAAAAGCATAAAGTATGCTATTGACCATCCACACAAACAGAAAAATACGTCCAAGTCTGGCATGCCAATGACAACCTCATTTCAATAGGCATATAGATAAGAAGCTCTTGACGTTTTCATGACACCTAATCTAAAACGGAAAACAAACAAAGGCAAGAAGAAGACCCCATAAACCATTTCATAGGCAAGGTTAACATTATAGCTGCTAAACAAGACATGCCATCACGCATTTATACTCTGTGTGTGTGTGTGTGTGTGTTTGTGTGTGTGTGTGTGTGTGTGTGTGTGTGTGAGAGAGAGAGAGAGAGAGAGAGAGAGAGAGAGAGAGAGAGAGAGAGAGAGAGAGATTAGTGTAACTAAGTAACGAAATGCATCTTAATCATTACATCATAATGTTGTCAAAATTGTTTAAAGCATCTCCACACCAACATTGT